AAACTAGTCGAGTACCTCGTCAAATTATTACGTGAGTAAGCCGAAAACATAATAAATAAGATGAAACCATGTTATTGCTCGTTTTTAATTTAATCATCTGTGTTGGCCACCAAGCCATGACAGTTGCTATTTGTCAATTTTTGGGTTTCATCGGGTAGTCTGGAGTAGGTGCTAATATTTCTGTAATCAATTTAACATTTATCTCTTTTGCATGTTTTGCCACTTTCGGCTGAGTTGGCTTCTTGATTTTTATGTGTATTTTTTTCCAAACTCACTAGTCTAGTTCCAATGCAGTTATTAAAACGGTTAAAGATGAATTTTGAATTTGAAATAATGTTGTTACATATTATTTTTTATAGGTTTCACGGTAATAATGGACCAGGAGGCGATTGCTTTAGTTAAACAACGAAACATCACCCACATTTTTAAATGTGTTGCGCTAAAAAACCCGAGCATAGCTCTCTCTATCGACTGCTGGGCTACTTTGTGTTTCTCTAGGAAGCGAAATACAAACTTATTGAACGGTCTACGGTCAACGGTGAATGTAGCGTTTTTTGCATAGATTCCCGAATTTTTCGACAAGACATCGCAGTCAAACCTATCTAGATTTCGTTAAAGGAGAGCAAATATGAAAATAACCTCGCTTCTTCTCGCAACCCCGCCTAAACATGGTCCCCTTTGGGCTCCACCTCTGGCGGTCTAATGGATCTTTGAGGCGCTCGCGGAAAATCCTATCCAGCTGGATGATTTGCCCAAGGTATGTAACTGGAAGTTACAAGTTAAGAAGTGAAACTAATAGAATGCATTGGGGTGAACTCGGCGTAAGGGGCAATTTTCGAAAATATAGTTCAGCTGAGCATTGCTGGTGGTGTACGTGTAATTTCGCAGACGGGCACTGTTAAGACTACAAGTTGCTCAGAGTTATCTGTCTCCTTAGATTTACTGATACATCATTTAAGTATTGGTATGTTGCAACCAGTTGAAATTTGAAAGAACTTTCAGTAAATGTACTTGTACCTATTTAAAAATAAATTAAAAACTCCAAATTTTAAAGTCTCTTTTACGATCAAGTTCAATGTAAATATTCTGCTCAATGAAAATTTATTAATTCAGATAAGTGAACTGTAATAACACTATTGTGTACGAAGTAATGAAGCTAAACAGTTTCAAGCTGAGCTCGGCACTGACGACAAACAAGCAGCATGCCCGGAGTCTCTTACACGAACTCCGTTGTAAGTGATAAACTTTCTTGTATACGTTTCTCGCAGCAACTGTAAAAGGGTAGACATTAAAATTGCCTTTTTATAAAAACATTTAACCGTAAAATAATAGATATCTTATTTGACCTTTGAACCTACTGCTTGCTAGATTGATAACGTCATCAGAGTCGCAGGTAGCTGTTTATTATTCGAGTTAATAACGGACGGTCCGTCGGGTGGTCATGTAATTTCAAATTGGAAGAAATGCTTACCAGCACATTCACGGGAATTCATGAGAAGCACACAGGTACTCTCCACATCTCTCATAGCTGCATAGAAGCTCTCACACTTCACGGTAAAGTAAATTATTATAATGATATTCTTTATGCTCCAGATTTGAGACACCAGTACAATTAGATACTACAATAAAAAGGTACAGATGTATTCGTGATCGTGGTGATATCATTAGGAACTTTTTTGTTGTATCAGCCAGAAAAATGCCGTCTTCTAAGATTTTCAGGGTCGCCCGATTGAAAGCAACCTTCGTCAGCAGCAGTACTCTTGCTCTGTAGCTTTCATCAGGTCTTCTTGTCCACCTTTTGAAATCTCGTGAATTACGCATTCGAAAAAAAACTCACCTTACGATCTCCACCAAACTTAGTATCCCGTAGACATAAAACTAGAGCAACGTTTCGCAAACTAAGGTAAGCTGTGTATATTGTATACAAAGCAATCTGAAAAACATTAAATCACTATTGAATTAGTTATTTTCTCGACCAAGACCATTTGGCAAATACATTTTAAAATCACAGAAGACAACTAACCATTTGTTGAAATGTTTTCCCGAAGACAGTACAAATCTCATGCACATTGAAATATGAATCGAGCAACGTTTTCCAATACTCATCTGGTCTATCAATTCTATTTTTTGTTGATTCCCAAACGCTTTCGATCCACACTCGAAGAAATTGCTCAACGAATTTAATTACTAACAAAGCATACAATATCACTATGTCGTATGAGACGGTGATGTACGAAGAAATCATATCGTACAAGGTACACATATTAAAAATTAAGTAATAAGAGATGATGAAAGCTGAATAATGTACACTAAGCATGATGACAAATATCCTGTTACTGATAGCTAAATAACTTATATGGTTGTTACTTATTTTTAAAACTTTAAGCACGTATTGGATTCTCAACACTAATGTAATATAGTAACTATGCTTGATATCAAAATAACCGTTAATCAAATCTGCCATCGAATGGAAACAAAATTCAAAGCAAGCAGTGAAGATGTAGAAGATACTGATCATATTAGCCCAATAGATGTTTTGGAAATACGAAAGATAATAATTTATGTTATAGACACAGTAACACCGGAACACAAATGTGATCAAAACTTTCGTAACGTTGAAAGCGCAACTGTTACTACTGATGATATTGTTACGAACAGAATATTTCTTGCAGAAGGATATACTGAGCATAAAATTCAACGGTCTGAGCACTGATTGTAGATCTTTTTCAATTTTAAAATTATGTAATATGTCTTCTGACGACATTCCTAGCTTAGTTTTTCTCGAACTATTGAAAAGTGTTCATTGATGAAAAATGTCAAACAGCTAAAGTAAGGCGACTTGAAGCTTGACTAATGAAATAAAAATAAAAAGTATGTTATCGAATTGACCATTGTAATTTATTTAATGTAAAGTACAAGTACACCCGCCTTTCGTTTGGTGGTTTTGCTCATAAAAAACGTAACAAAACATTTTATTGGAATTATAGAAAAGTGACGAATTAAATCTTCTAGACAATTTTGAAGTAAGTAACTATTTTTCGACCGGGCAATCTGGCTGTTATTGTAGGAGCCTAAATTCGTGTTGTCATTAAAACGATGATGGCAATGTAGGATATGTATCATATCGGGCAGGTAATACATTGTTAGACCAATCCCATTGTTTCGGAAAATGTAATGCTATTGAAAGATTATGGATCTTTCAATAGCTTTTAATTAATAATTAATAGATAGACAAATATACAAATCAGAAATTCTCTAATTATACCGATACTTTATAAGCACGAGTTTAATGTTTCTTTCGTCTGAAAAACATTCAACCATATTGCTAGTTGATGATCTTGATACACATCAGCTAATTGAAAGAATTTTACTTCTGCTTCATCTAGTTTTTTTTTAATATATAATTTTGACGTGTAAAAATGCTGTTTTATGGCATATTCACAACATTAAATTCATTGTTTCATTACTCGATAATGCTGTTTATTGTTTGCCGTTTACTATTGGCCTACTTTGATTCATTTCAGTACAGTGACTGATATTAATCAAGCACTATAAATAACAAATTGTGTTTTCAAGAATTGGTTCATCAAGATTATTCGAACTGATGTCAAAAAATCCTTCTACTTATTTTAGTCGTGTCTATTTTTACCTCCTTGTACATCAAAGGCTATGCTGGTTTAAAATGTTAAACCCATTTTTTAGAGAAAATAAAGTAATGTATTTGTATTATCATTGTATATGTAAATTCAAAATTTTGTTCTGAATTTTACATTCTTAACACTCTTGCTCAAGACTGCTTATCGATTGCCAATTTGGAACCCAAGCTCATGCAAGAGGCCACCTTCATACAAAAGGGTGACCTCTTGTGTTAGAAACGGGTGCATTAATCTTCAGGCCATCACGACGACTAAAACGTTTAGTTCTTAAACAAGCTTTAACTTTCATTTCATTACAAAAAAATAAATAAGTCACGATCGATACACCCATTAAAGCGATTGTAGACAGTTTAAACGATGAAGCTAAAAGTCATTGTACCACACGTCCGACAGTCGACCAAATGTCCACCACTCTTAATATAATTTCAATACCTCGATATCAAATAGTAATGCAGACCTTTTATTTGGACAAAGAAGTTAAGAGTTTTATCTATCCCTTCCATTTCTTCTTTAAATTGCTCCTCTCGACAAAGTACAAAATTAAAGACAATTATATTTCTCCTATAGGAAAACTGTGTTTCTTTCTTAGGTTATTATGTGTCTGTTATGCGATTAGTGCTACAGTCCATCGTTTGCAACGCAAAGAAATCGAACACCTCATCGTCAGTGGCGATGCCTTTATCGTGAAGTTTATCTCATTTTTCTTGCCCGTAACGCGATGTCTGGCTTTCGTTATGGATTTTATCGTTAACTTCGCTTATAAAAAAGGGAACGTCTTATTTGTTCTCATGATTCAGAGTATTCATAAGAGCATTGATATTAGTAATCATATCCCGAGTTTAATTATTTGCAATTGGGTAATAATTTTAACAGTTCTATGCGTAGATATCTTCGTTTTTATTATCATTGGCACAATTATACAATACTTCAGTGTTCTCAATAGTTTCTCAGAAATATTATTTATGAATTTCGATATTGATTTTCTTTATACCATACAAATTCTTGTACTTTTAATAAAGTACCTTGAGGGATGGATTAGAAATATAGAATTGATAAACTTTGATGGAAATGAGAAATTGTATTATGAAAACCTTTTTATAACGTATCAAAATATTTTGGCAGCGTTTGATTTGTATAAGAAATTATCGCAAGTATTGGTAAGTTTTAAATTAAATAGTTCTGCACGTTTACGTATTTTGATACCAATGTTAGAAACATTATGAAGAAGGACAGGTATAAATTCCTTGATATTACTGTAAAAATAATTTATAGCACCACCAAGTCCTTATAGTGAGTATAATTAGTGCCAGACAATTTTTTCCTTTACAGATATTTTATCGAACAATGAACGCTCTTTGTCGCTCTTTATCTTCTTTTGCGTTTACTCTGCAGTTGGGAAAAACAGAGAAACTAAGCAAGGATCAGGTAAGAGTATAATGTATTTTATCTTTCAAAGCAAAAACCAAATTTTTTCAATAAATTAATGGGCAAGTTGCAAACAAAATCAACAAAAGAAGGAGAATTTTCACAATTCGTCATATTGTTTTATTTGCAGATACTACCGTCGCAGTCACTGACAAATATTATGGTATTGCTGGGTATAATAAAAGACATGATGCATTTCATACTGCATAGCGTATACTGTGAAAAGTTCTATATAGCGGTAGAAAAAGCAGAGACCGCATGTGTGAAGCAAATGATCAATGTAAACCGTTCATGTAAGTATTTACTAAACTGAGTAACCTTTTTTAGACTATAAATATCAATGTACAGTGTCTAGTACATATATTGTCATCCTATAGCAAAATACCAGGCTCGTTTCATAGTCTATTTCTCTTTGCACTACCCGGCACATGGTGATATAGGGTTATATTGAAGTCAGGGAACAGAGGTAGGTTGCCGCCCAACCAGAACAAGGCCCGACCTCGCGGCGCGTCGCGTTCTACGCGCACCTCAAAGGACTATTAGAGCCAATGTGTATCTAGGGTAGCGGATGTAAGCGCAATCATATATATGTGGAAAGCCATTTTTAGTTAGCAAGAGTCTCTTTTTTCCATATTCTCCTCCAAAAAAGTGTTTTAAACTAGCAAAAGGCGCTAAAGGCGCAAAAGCTGAAGGAAATAGAAGCAAAGATTTTCTAACATCATTGCTTTTTATGTTTCTTCCATCACGCCCTCAAGGGAATAAAAGGCGTTTATCTGCGTTATATTATAAAATATATTACCGTGTTATTTCATCAACATTTTTCTAAAATTTTTCAGATAGTCAGTGCCGCCTTTGCATGAATGTTTTAAGGGAAAATCGATCGTCATTCATTAAGATGAGTGCGTGTGGACTCTTCCACGTGGGCGCCACGCTACCGCTATGTTTGATGGGGTTATTCACCAATTATGCTTTTGTGCTACTACAGTTTACTTTACTTTAATAATTTTGTGTTATATTTTATATCTATGGGAAGAATTGTTTTAAATAGAAGGCTGGTGTTTAAAATTGAACTTTATTCCTGACAATTTATGATAGGTTATGTCATAAATCGATTTCAACGATAAGAAGTTTCCTTGTGTTTCCTTTGCTTTATATCATCGAACATGTTCTCCCTGCATCACCGAAAGGTTGGCTACCAAGAATGCCTGTGTTATTAATCTGAACATTTTCTATTTTGTTGCAACGAACGAGCTGATCACAAGTCAGGGTTTTATCTGTTGGGAAATCACACGCCAATTTTCTCGATCTCAGTCTTATAAATACCAGCCAACTAGCCTGTCGGAGGTAAGATTATGTAGGTTTATAATATAATGACATAACATTTTCTGTATGTTTGTATGCGTATGTTATATGTGAGTAAAAACCAATGTGTCTATTAAATAATTTGTATTTAATGGCAGAAATATAAACTTCGTTTTATTTTACCTCTTAAGATATGAAGACGACGTTTGGTACTGTGTGCACTGTTTACGAATTACCTGTTCACTTCAGCCATTTATTTTCTCATTCAATTAGTGAATTTCGACGAATAAGGTTAAATATAAATGAATTATTGTAATTCTGTTCGTCTAGCTAAAGCCCAAAAGCAACTGAAAAATATGAAAAGCTAGCTAGTAAAATATCAAAAACGTTAACATTACCTATATGATGAGATATTTGACTGGGCAAAAAGTGACATCATTAAACTTTGAGATCATTGTGTATTATTTCAGGTGGTACAGAAATTACGGGTGAGCAAATGTTCAAATAAAAATGTTTTAACTAAACAGTTCCTACTAAAATACCCTTTATAAGATCGATGTACGTCTTGTTAATGAAAAATAAAATGGTCCCAATGTAGAACCCTACGGAACTCCCCGTTTTTACTTTGATTTCACATGAAAATTAAAATAACAGTGAACTTGTTCGAACCCATATATTGTATTTTATATGTACAATTTTATTATGAGAAAGCAAACTGCAAGAGTACGAAAGCATAGTTAGCAAATAACCTCATGACACGCAGGGGTAGTGTTGCATCCACATAATAAAGTCCAAATGCACTCATCTTAATGGTTGACGACCGATTTTCCCTTAAAATATTTTTGAAGAGTCTTCGATAATTTTCTGTAAAGAAATGCAATGAAGACATAATATGAAATTGCTCGGATTATTAATAAAAATAAAGAAAAAGCTTAAGCCGACAATAAACATTTCACTACGGCATTCTGTCAAACGAGGTAATTGTAGGCTTTTTTTCTAATGCACATAGTAGTTCTATAATAGCCAATAGTGTTCTCCAAGTAGTGGAGTGACTTAAGCCGATTATATTGTATCGAAACAAAATCGGCGGCAGTAAGTATATTATGTTTACTGGTGATAGGGAAGTTCTTACTTGAACAATTGACATTCATCATTCCCTGTATACATTCCATCTCGGCTTTCTCTACTGTTATGTAGAACTTCTCAAAGTATACGCTCTGTAATATTATTATTGAGATGTACTTCACCATCCATATTAAGGTCAGAGCGCAATACATCAAATCTGGGTAAGGAATCTGAAACATTTTTATAAAACTTTGTTTATCAAGGAGTTATTTTTTTAGAATTGATTGTGTAAGTCTATCCGTTTTTGTTTTTCTAGTTTTAACGGAGAAGAAAAGCATTATGAGAAAACTTGGATTTATAATTTTTAATTACAAGTTGAAATCGCCAACTTGCTTTAAGAAAGCGCTGTTAATAAACCCAATTCCTTCTCTGTGTGAGAAGAGTCTTCTTATAATGGGATAATACATAAAGTAGATGATGATGTAAGCATTCTTAACGTCTCTCGTTTAATAAGACAGGGTACAGTGTTTTGGAGTAACTATGCTGCATAACTTAAAATATGTACCTTTGAAGAAATCACTTCTATGTCTAGTGTTGAAACTGGCTTATTGATTTATCATCATCGTAACTTTACAATAAAAAATGACATAATATAATACTAACAGTGCCATGATGATAACTGAATTTGATTTTTATTATTTGAATAGAATTTTGCAGGTAACCGAGATTGCGCCCAAAAGCATTAATCGTACGAACAAGAACCTGTTAACAAAAACATTTCTTAAAATTGTATGCCAATCATACTAAATTAGGTAGTCATTGGGCTTATAATTTTGATAGGTCAGTTTTCTATGGACACAATGCGTTAGACCCTTATATAAGTTAATTATAACAAAATACTTTTTAGATTTAAGAACATTTTGTAAGCTTATTTTTTTGAGAAGACAATATCAACAAATGACTTATACCCCGCCCTGGGGGGCTGATAGAGAATGTCAATCTCTTAAGAGTTTAAAAACCTACTCCTTTCTTTTCCCGTATCGAGTCGGTACTGCGGTACACAGTACTGCAGTAACATTAAAAGCAAGCTCGTTAATCAGACCAATTATTTTAATGACAATCGTTATGAAGAACAACATCAGGACATTAGCTCGTTGTCATTTCATTATCATGCCACTGAGGTTACTGTTATTTTGGTATTTGTTATAAAAGATAAATGTAATAGTATAAGTACTCACCAATAATTTTGTTATCTTCTTAAAAAGATTGAAAGCTCTCAAAATATTTCGATACTTTTTCAAAACGATCTCGCAGTATTTTTTATCATATTGCTCACCTACATTCATTTTATGAACCTCTTTAGTCCATGCATTGAGGTATTTCATTAACAAAATAAGAATTCGGATACCATATACCAAATCGACATCAATGCTAAGAACTAAAGCTTCGCTAACAACGTTTAAGTAATTAAAGAAGATAAAGGCTTTGCTAAATATTACATAAATAAAAAAAACGCCAAAGAAACAAACGAAAACTGTGATCCAGTTCCATATGATAATATTACGGATAGCTTCACTGATATCAATGCAATTATGTATGTCTTGGATTATGAGAACAAGCTTCACGTTATTATGTCTGTGCACGATATTCACAATGAAGGTTATTAGCAGACCAACACAGCGAAATCCAGGTAAGATGTATGTAATGAAAGTCTTGGCAACATTAGAAATTGAGACTAAAATCCATATGTTGGTAGAAATTACAAAGCAAACATTTAAGAAAGCCAAAATTTGAGATTTCACTCCGTTTGCTGTGATATAACCGTCTTTGATGCAGTATTTTGAAGAGAACTGCAATTTTAACATTAAGTTGAAAGGGTACAATATTTTCTGGATATCTTTATCTAAGCGATTTTTATGTATTGTAGTACAAGGATTATTATTCCATCTGTTCTTCAATGATTTGTAGTAATTGATGAATTTTAAAAAAGTTATCCACATTTTGTCGGGTCTTTCACAAAGAAGGGTGGAGTTAAATTGAATTAGACCTAATTTTACTAGACATCAATTGATGATAAGCAAGCAATCAATCTAATTAAAGCAAAATCAAATTGAGCAATATGTGTGATGTCTTCTGACCTCATCTTTCAATATAATGATACACACAGGGTGTAAAAAGACACTTAACGAAGCCGTTAACTAAGCATACTGCAGTTCTAACTAAGTAGCTTTACGCTAAAATTATCACTGGGAAACGACTTTTATTTTGGGTATCAAAAAATATAATAACTTTATTGCGCGCAATGTAAAGCAAACGGGCTTCGTGTCATTGTATGCGTAGGTTCACAGCTTAGCATTAAAACGCTGTGATAAGTACGTAGGTCGACGTTTTACTTCGCAACAACAAAACAATTCTGTAAAATAAAAATCCTACTGAGATGCACGATGTTTTTTATGCGGGTCTGAATTTATTTATTACGTACATTACTGTTCGTAACTTCAAATGCGTAATTTATTTAGAAAAATCGAATGTTTGAAAAAAAGTTTTGTAATAATACTTAGAATTCAATTGTGCAAAAAAATGCATCTTTGACCTCCAATATCTCGAGAACCCGTGGAGTCCCAGCTATGGTCTTAAAGAAAAAAATGATTCAAATAATGGTTAGAATACGTGGCTTTCGGCTTCGTTAAGTGTCTTTTTACACCCTGTATTATAATATTAATGTACTTGGTATAACTTTTCTTTCTATAGTTTTTTTAACGTTGCCCCACACTGGGCTTTTCTGCCATCTTGGGTGCATTTATAAACATACAATTTAATGTACACATCAAGCCCAGACCTGAAAGAACAACATGTTGATCACACACAAAGAATTTGTAACTCCCTTTTCTTGTATTTGATAATTCAATTCAAAGCAATGCTATAAAATCTGCAATTTTGCCCCGTATTGTATAGAACTAATAAATGTCTGGGTGCTACAGTTCAGCATTCGACAAATTGTCAAATTCAAAACTTTTCTTTAAATTGTTAAAATCGGTAGAATGAGATGTGATACCATAAGAGCAATGTATAAAACCATTTTTTTTTTATTTCAATACATCAAAAAGTCGGAATAACTTATACATATAATAGCGTAATTTACAGGGAAATAGAAGGCAAGATTATGTCCAGGTATGATGCAAAAAAAGAGCAACGCTAAATGGTCAATCTGCTTCTCCCAGCTATGTAGTCTTCTTGTCCCGAGCTTTTGTTTTGAAACGAACAGACGGATAACCTGGGCCTCGAGTCTGCTATTACAATAGTATCAGAATAGTAGATCATTGGTTTCAATATTGTTGATTTTGACAAGTTTGGTAATCTACTAACACAATAGCGTCATTATGACTTTCCAATGCCACTTCATTGAAATAATTCTTTAGAACGGTAATCTCGTACATAATGACAAATGAATATTTGACATAATGAGGTAAATAAAAAAAATTTCAGTTCCTTTATTCAATGATTTACGTATCGACTATTAATGTGCAGTTATTGTTTATAATTCGTTACAAGACATCTCGTACTATAAATAATTCTATTACGACATCGCCGAACGCCAATGATCAGTCATTTTGATTTAACAGATTACGAACTTTTAGCAAAATGACAATGGAATCGTGTCGGAATGACAACACTTTGAAAATAGTAGACTCGAGCCCCTGATGGTAAGCAATCATCCACCATTGTGTTACCGCCCTTTTGGGGATTAGAGAATAGGAGATTTGGGAATTGAAGGGGAGTTGGAGGAGTGGAAGAATTTGGAGTCCGGCTTACTCACACGGCGAAACACGACGCTATGGTTGTGCCAATGCATGGCTCTCCCATATTGAGCCTAAAGCGAGAGAAAGAAAGAAACAAAAAAAAAAATATTATAATATAATATAACTATTAAAAAATATACGTCAACAAAGCTACAAACAACGTTTCAAAAATAATGCCTAGCAAAATCAAACCATACCCTCTTTTTATTCATAATTATTTTGTTGTTAGATCCAAGACAGTTCTTTATTTCCCTGAAAGTGTATAGCGTATCTCCTTATGTTGTCATGATTGTATCTACTATAAATCCTGGCTCACAAGAGTGGCAGTAGTTTCAGGAGGTATGCTTATGTCACAGAACCTGTGTGTCTCTCAGGATTCTGTTCAACATTGTAGCGCTCATTTTTAGATCTTACTCTGTGTTATGTGTATCCTTTTTATAACATACTTTGATTCATAAGTCAGAACGGCGGTACACGAGCCTGCGGTCGGCGAGTAAGGGCAGCTCGCCACCCGACCAGAACCAGGCCCGAGCGTACGGCGCGTAGCGTTCCGCGCGCGCCTCAAAGAGCCATTCGACCACCACAGACGGGGCCCTAAAGGGCTGATGTTCAGCCGGGGTTGCGGGGTAAGCGCAATGAGGTACCGCGACCTCGGCACAGAGCAGGAGAAGGAACAGGGGGGTTTTTAGTCAGTAAGAGTCTGACACTCCCTCCTGCCCGGCCCTGGGCGGGAGAAGTCATTTGATGATTTTCCCCTCACAAAAAAAAAAAAAGTCAGAACGGCGGTATTCCCGAACCGATACGACCTTCAAACCTCCAAGAAACGAGCATACTCCTTCGGCCGGCAAAGCACCTGTGACTCCTCTGGTGTTGCAGGTGTCCATGGGCGGCGCCGATCGCTTACCATCAGGTGATCCGTCTGCTTATTTGCCTCCTATTCCTTAAAAAAGGGATATGTCGTCAACTCATATTTATCCGAAACAGTAACAGCCAAAAAGGAAAATATTTAATTGACTGATTGTACATATTTATGTAATTTAGGGGACAAATATTTGTCATATAGTTAATTTCTAGAAAAGTCTTTAGTGAAATGTAATAAGCATAAGCCAGCCACTTTAATAGCTTAACGACCATATTTTATCATGACTTTGAACTCGAATCAGACATTACCATCAGATCTCAGATACTGATAACGAAACATTATTAGGCTTCTCTGTGTCAAAGGCCTCTGTTAACACACAAATTTCAAACAAACACAACTAAATGGATCTAGTACAACCAAACAATTTATTTTCCAAAAAAAATCATCCAAGTGATAGCAAAAGTTATCGTGTGATATTTTCACACAATAGTGAAATAGATAAAGATGTAGAGAATATGCTAAAGCCTTTAAATCTATTGATGACGCTGCACCTACTTCCAAAATATCATCCCACGAACAAATTTCTTTTGAATAAGGCTTCTTTGCTCGGAGTAGTCTTGCGAATAATTCCGTACTTGTTTCGAATTTTTTCCGACCTCTCAGCGAACTTACACGGGATAATTATATTCATTGTAGTATCTATCGATATCTTATTGTACTGTATCGGAATGATCGTTATTCACATTTACAACCTGACTCACACAAAAATCCATTTTGAGTCCATCTTGCGGCTTTATGAAATTCACAAGCTTTTCTATAACAAGTCTGCCTTCAAAAATGTTGTTTCAATGAGCTGGTGCTTTTTTATTTTGATCCTTATCTTTCATTTGAGTATTATATTGCCCAATTATTTATATGGGCTGCCCTGGCCCGTAATTTTATCCGATTTCATTTTATTCTCTCTAGACGCTTACATGGTGTATTCGATAAGATTTATCAACTTACTTGAATGCTATGCTTTGGCCTGGAAAAGTGACTTTGTTGATGCTTACACTAATATTGGAGAAGAAGGCAAATTCGAGACTTTGTTTTATAAGTATAACAAGATTTTAGAAAGTTATCAACTATTCAGAAGATTTAGTCAGATATGGGTAAGATCATTATTTTTATTACCTATGAGGTGTACCTAACCAATTAATACTTTCAATGAATTTAGTTTTAATTTTGTACTGGTCGTTAAAATGCTTTCTTGATTTTATTGGTAATCGCCGCGCTCAGATACTTTAACTCAGTTCTTAGTAATTTAAGTAATTATTAAATGTTGTATGAGTATAGCAGTTAAGAAAAGTTTTCTATGTTTGTGTTCAACATGTTATTATTTTAGGCACGATTTTGAGCCCAATTTTTTATTTATTTAATATTGGCCAGGCATTTCTTCTTGAAATAAACCGATTTATTATTATTATTATTTCTTCGCTTTCATGCCTGGTGGTAAACGATGATGCTACCTTCGATGGAGCACGTCTACCTATAAGCAAAATATGCCAAAAAATTGGAACAAACGATTGAAGAGTATTTATTGTTTCAGGTGTTGTACCACACTATAGATACTTTTTTGCACGGACTCGTCGATATACAATTTGTATTTATTCTTTACGCAGATGATGTAAGTTAAGACGCTGAAATCCTAAGTAAAATCCCGAAGAACCATTGACCATTAGAAGTCATTTGATGATTTTCCCCTCACAAAAAAAGGGCCAATATCCAGCCGAGGTTGCGGGTATAAGGACCACGAGCCTCTGGCCCAAAGCTTGAGAAAAGACGGGGCGGCATTTAGTCAGCAAGAGACTCCCTTTCGCCCAAGGGTGGAAGAAGTCAACTGATATCATTTATTGAGCAGGCTAGGCCAGTAATTTGCTTGATAAGCTATTTAAAATTTAATTAATTTTTAAAGGAAAGGAAAGAACTGCTTGGTTCCTGATGTCTACTTTTTTGTTATTTGTTTAAAATCATGTACTATATTGATTGGCTCTAAGTTGTTATATTTTAATTGTTTTATAAATTCAATCTTTTACAGGAATTCAATAAAGCTTTGATGACCAATTTGTTATGGATCGCAAAGAATTTGTTGCTTCAAACGCTGTTGGGTTCATCTTGTGAGATGTTTTACGAAGCTCTAAGATCATGTCAAGATTCTTGCACCATAGTGTTAGGTTCAAACTGTTCAGGTATTAAAATTCTTGGAGTCTAGCCGATAAAAATAATTACAGAAATTTAGTTTTTAATTTGAATGTGCCTTGTTGTAACGGCAGATTACTATATAATTATTAGAAATAATTATCAAAATCTTTTTATTAGACAGGCAATTTTTAGACAAAGATTATTCAAAATTAAGGCTTAGGTACTCAAGTGAGGTGACTGAGAATAGCTATTTGCAATGGTTGGCTACGTGACGTCACCGCGACACGCACGCTGCGTTTGGATAAGGAGTCCCGTTGTTATGAAACTAAAGGAGCTTTTTCATGAGACTTGATAGTGTTCTGATCGACGTCTTAGCCTATAAGACGGTGATAGGTAGGTTTTTAATAAACGGAGAATCGAAAGCGGCGTCCTATAACTCTAAGCTGATAAATTTCCAACCCAAGATTTTATCAAACCTCTTGCCTAAAGAAGATCCATAGTCAAGTAATGAATTGTCTAAGGCTGTTCGTTATTCCATTACAGATGCGGAAAAGAAGACATGTAAAAATATACAGCGATTCCATGATATGAACTTTAGCAATCTCGAAATATTTGGCCTATTTTCTATAGACGCCAAGTCGCCCTTAGCACTGTTTGGTTTACTTGCGAACTATACTTTGGTAATTTTGCAATTCATGCTTATACCTTCTGAACGGTAATAAAGAAAGTTATCAAATGCTCTCAACATTTTTTTCATTTCCACCTTTATTAATACCTTCTTTTAGTTTAAATTGTTTAGCATACGTGTTATAAAATGTTTGTCTATAATCTCAATTATTAATTTTACTATCATTAAATTGTTGTGTAACATACATAACTATCCATTTTGTAATTATTTATTACTTATTTATTATCCTTTTTAATTTATTTACGACATCTACCTCAGCATTTCGAGCTAACTGTACAAGTAGTAGGTAAGTCATATCCCAAACAAACTTAACTTCTTTACAAATTACTTGACTTTCATCAATGATTATTTATGTATTCGTCAGTAGCGTTATCGATTCAATGTGTGTAAGGTACTCGTGTTTACGATACGATGTTCATTTTATTAGTGTATAGTAGAATCAGTGAGTCTGCTGAGCTACTTGTATTATTGAAACATTCCTTTACAGTTAGCTAATTACAAATAATCATGAGAACAAAAATTAATACTTACAGAAACGAAAACTTTTTGGATAAAAATTTCCAAAGCGCAATCGTTCCATACCAGCTACTGCAACACGCTGTGTTCCTTTCACGTTTCTCTATTGATAAAAATTGTATTAGACCTCATGGATTCCCTTATTTGTTCTTTTCGTTCATTGGTGTACTTCTGTTTATCAGTTTTCAGTTAACATGTGCTTACCTTGTCCACAAAACTGAAAATCAAGTGGTCATTAACTTCACTGATGCCAACGTCATTTTCTTGGTGATCTCTTTCATCAGCTTCTATGCAAACAACGTTATCTACAGAAAGGACAATGTAGATATAATTGTGAAGATTCAAAACGCATATAGGGCTGTTGATTTTCAAAAATACAAGGAATGTGTCTGGTGGAATTATTTTGGTATTTTTCGCCATATATTTTTTTATATTTTCGCTGTTATTTTTATGCCAGATATGAAAACAGCAATTTATTTTTATACTTTAATTTATTTTGATGCTTACGTTACGTATGGCGTGTCTCTAATAAAATTTATAAGACTTGGTATAACGTCATGGATATCTGAATTGGAATACCATTGTTCATTTGAAAGTGATATAGAAGATCAAGTTAATAATCACTTCAAGAAACTATATCAGGCATACCTGGATTTAATGGATGCGTTTAATATCTTCAAGAGGTTGTTTCAATTTTCGGTAAGCAATGTGTTTTTAATAATCATCAAAGATTTTTCTAACTTAAAATTTTATGATATGGATACGACTGAAGCATCACTTTATTTTCGCATTGTACTTAAAATTCACTAAGCAAGAAATATGTAAATTACGGATACGGATAGATACGGTAAACAAGCAAATTGCTGCCACCCATAACACCAGAGGAGTGGGTTTTCGGCTTTCAGGGACCAAATTTTCGGAGATTGCTTCAATCACATGGCGAAACACAACGTCGTAATTGTTTTATATGAAGCTGTAGTATCAACCCAGTAGAGCCAACTCATTGTGTCGAAGCGTGACTCTTTCAAACTTTTTTTGTGAGCACTCTTTTTCCATACTTAGAAATCTATTTAACACGTCATTTTAATTTATATTTCAGACTTTATACCACGTAGTTGATACATTTATACACAGTTTAGTATTTCTGCAAGCGATAATAGAAATTAATAAAAAAGAAATTTCTTTGGGGAATGTAAGTGATTTATAGAACTTTTTGAATTAAGTTTTAATGAGGATGGAGGTAAGAAAGGCAATGAAGTTGAGAAAAAGGAATGGAATTATCATTTTAGAGAAAGCAGAATAGAAGAAGATATATTGATACACCCAGCATTACTGACTGCACGTTTGGTGCGGTGCCGGTGGCTGGGCAACTGGCTGCTGTGCAACGTGTCGCGGGTTCGTTTCCCGCACGGAACAACTGTTTGTGTGATCCACAAATTGTTGTTCCGGGTCTGGGTGTCATGTGTATGTGAAATTGTATGTTTGTAACCGCACCCACGACACAGGAAAAAATTCTAACATAGGGAAACGTTTATGTAAAAAAAAAATTACTCAACTTAGGATAAAGACAAAAAAGGAATAGGAAACTATCCGTGTGAAATATTTATTACCTATCGTTTTATTCATTTGCTTATGCTTTAAAATGTTTTCCAGTATAACGCCAGACATTTCACCCAAATCGCAATGCTGTGGGCATTTAAGAATTTATCATTTGTCTCGATCTTCAGTGTGTACTGTGAAAGGTTTTATATGTCAATTATTGAGGTTGATTCTGCTTGTAGCAGGCTACAAAAGCAAGGTGCGATCACAAGTAAGTTCAATAATTTGCATTTGGGTATTTACCGGTTGAAATTTTCATCTTAATAGGTTCCTACACGTACCTATAGGGAACCTTGGAATTTAAGTTCATTGAGTACGAGCAAACCATCCGACACATCACCCGAAGATAAGTGATGAGCCCCGCCTATGAAGGCCCGTAACACCAGCAAATGTCCATTTTTACGATGGGTACTATACTATTTTATCATGGGTGCTATGTGACTTTTTGTTCGTATATTTGACATAGTCACTATTTTTTTTATTTTTGTAAGGAGACAATCGTCAAGTGTCTTCTCTCGCCCAGAATAAAATAATAAAAGAAGGAGTGTTAGACGCTAACTGACTAAAGTCCCTCCGTTCCTTCTCCTACTTTAGGCCGAGGCCGCGGTACCTTATTGCACATTCCCAGCCACCCCTGTTGACCATCGCCCCCGTAGGGCCCTGTAGCTAAACCATAATTGAGTGGCTTTTAGTTCAGAACATTAATGACGGTCTACCCATCCATGACATCACTAAGTTTAGAAATTGTATGTTAGTAATCACCAACATCATCACTTTTAATGGGTTTTCAATCGTTGTTAGACGTTTGATGGCGTGTTGCTTTTGCTTTTCAAATACGCCTTAATGATGTTAATCTTCAGTTCCTTCTATACAATTACTATAAAACTTCCACCCTTTTTTGTTACAGTTCAAGCCAAAAGACTTTGTAAGAACGTGCAGCGGTTCAACCGTACATCTTTTCGCAAGATGACAGCTTGCAACATATTTACCGTGGACGCCAGTATGGCTCAGATGTTCAATCGATTGGAAGTGGAGTACATTATCATAATTCTTCAATTTGCATTTTTGTAAATAAAAAATAAATTCGTTTTGGAAAAAAGTGTATAAAAATGACAGAATAAAACCTCATTCGCTCAAGAACATACTCACTAATATTTATTTATTTAATCACATTAATAATCATATACAATTTATAAACTTGAATTTTATTAAATTAAACGTTTTAATAAATCTATATTTATTGCGATAGTATCTTATATCTTATATATATATTCTTATCTTGTATTACCTAAATTTCAAACAACTATCTACAAAAAAAACTCTTTATTCACCAAACATTTTATTAGCTCTCAACATTACATGAACATCATTTCTACATTTTCTAATTATCCGTCTATACACAATTACGCAAATTGCACTATACACAATTACTAAGCTCTTATAAAGGAGATACCTACATTTCTTTTGAGCAGGTATCATGAAGAGTTAATTCAAATCGAGACGTGACAGAATACTTTGAGAAGGGTTGGACGTATCTTCTTTTCTTTCTTTTCTTTTTTTTAGAAAAACGTTGCAACATACAATTTTGCATACACAAGACACCCAGACCCGGAACAACAATTTGTGGATCACACAAAGAGTTGTTCCGTGCGGGAATCGAACCCGCTACACGTTGCACGGAAGCCAGTTGCCAAGCCACCGCACCAACCGTGAAGTCAAAATCTTGTTGCGTAGAAAATAAAGTTCCTTTTGAAGTGTGCTCGCAGCGGCTAGTTGCGTCTGTTTTCTGTGTGAACTGAACCTAAATAGTACATATCTGCATCATTTACATAAGTGTGGGAGAGCCAAGCTTCAGCACAAATGGATCGGCTCGACCGGAGTGATACCACGGCCTCACAGAAAACCAGTGTGAAACAACCACAACGTTGTGTTTCGCCGTGTCAGTGAGGTTATTGGAGGCCCAATCCCTACCCGACCGCCCATCCCTTCGAAATCATTAAATATCCAAAACCCTTGTCCTAAAAGGCCGGCAACGCACACAACTCCCTTGCTTTTGCGGGTTTCCAAAGACGGAATGATTGCTTACCATCAGGTAATCCGTCTGCTATACCACAAAAAATCACAGGAAAGCAAACTGCAAAAGTACAATAATATGATGAGTGATGATTTGCAACAAATTTATCGGGAACCTTGCGTTGAAATAGAACAGACCACAGGCGGATATCTTTTTAAATGTTCGGTTTGATTGCAACACCTTCTTGTAAAGACGATGATGGCTCTCTGTAAAAAAGTATTTAAATATACTTAACATAAAAATATTTAAATTTAATTTCTTGAAAATACGACTTATTCGTGTGAATTGATTGAGAAAGCTTTACTAGTTTCCGCTTATTTTACGCTTATTCACGTGAGTAAGTCGTTATCATTTAGTAAGTTTACACCCGGTTTCTGAAAGGCTTGTCAACGCTAAAATTAACTAATCTCCTGTTAAATCTCTTGTCAAGTCATCTGATTGTTTGTTGATAATTCAGTCAACCAATCAGATGACTTGACAGGAGATTAAATTGATTTTAACATTGATCGGCCTTTCGGAAACCGAGGGTTAGTCTCAAGATAGTACACCAAAAAGACAATTTAATTAAAGAAAAGGTTTTGTACTTGAACATTATTTTATATGAAAGTGATTATAAATCATTTTTGGTTCTAAGAAGACAATAATATGAAGAAATGTTCTATAGATGTTCTCAAATCGCATTCAAATAACTTAATGCCTAAAGGAGTGGATGACACAGGAAAAGTCAAATACTAAAGAAAAAATTACTCACTTGGATGATTCGAGATTTTTATTAGCTGCATACAGGCAATCTCGGCTTCCTTAACGAGTTCATAGAAATTTTCACAGTTCATATTTTGTAATGACAGTAAAAACATGTTCTTGATTAACCATAAGCAAGTAATTACGGTAAAACTGATCTGAAAATGTTTATTAGAATGCATTATTTTTGCCATTGATTTAGGTATGCTTCGTCTAAACAGTAGAAGAGTTGGCTAGTCCACCGGCTGCCGTGCTTGCTCATAAAACACACTCTTTTTTTCATGCAAAATCCATAAGTTATTGTTCCGAGTCGGTGTGAGATGTGTATATAAATTTATATGTTGACCCACAACACAGGACATAGTCAATAAATTTTTACGTGTTTTGTACCTACAACATGTATTTATACTTTTGACTAGGTTTTATAAAGTCCGATTCGATAAGGGGGGCTCCTGTCTTTAAAAAAATCAATTCTTATTTGAGAAATTTTAGAAAACCAGACTTCTCAATGGTGTCGAAGCTCTTTCTCCGACTCAAGGCAAGCTGTATATGTATAAAGAAAATATATATCAAAATAATTACCGAACTGAGCATATAATTCCGTTGTTGTAGCGTAGTCTGGCTATAAGCTATGGTTCTAAAGAATGTGTCTATAGTGTAATACAAAAGCTGAAAAAAAAGTTATTCGTTAAGTAGCAATGTGTGACTAGCTTCTACGGTCATATATTCTGAATAGCATTTTGCACTCGAAGATAACAACGTATAATAATAATTTAGAGACAAGTATTAAGGTATTATAGGCAAGTATTTTTTGTCAGAGGAAAATCATCAAATGTCTTCTCCTGACCTGACCTCCCTAAGGCGAGAGCGAGTGTCAGATCCTAATTGACTAAAAACCCCCCGGTTCCTTTTCTTGCATTAGGCCGAGGCCGCAGTGCCTCATTGCGCTTGTCCCGCAACCCTGGCTAAGTATTGACGGTGGATTATCATCAATTGACTTCTCCAGTCCTGGGTGGGGCAAGAGGGAGTATCAGACTCTTGCTGAACATAAACCACTCGTTCCTTTTCCAGCTCCATACCTTAGTAACAGCTCAACATATGATAATAATATGGCTCAACTAGTCAGCAGTTAGCTACAATATGAAAAAGAAAAAAAGGAAATGTTTCATACCAATAGAGTAGAAAGAGTCTTGTATAAATTATATATCTTCATTATCTCTGTATAGCTCTTGATCAGCTTCTGACAATATGCGTCGTCGTTTGCTTGTTTCTCATTCAAAGAGACCACATTTTTGATCCATTTAGTTAAATACATATTAAGTAATATCAAGAGACGTATAACATAAATTACATTCATATCAAATGAAGCGTAAGTAACTTTACTAACAAAATCAACCGGATCGAAGTCATTGCAAATTGTGAAATATATAAAAATTACAACCGTATTGAAAACAAAGTTAGACAGGATGATAATATAATTACCAATGATAAAACTTTGAACATGATCACTGATGTCAATGCTTCTATGAACGTTTTGGAACATAATTACAAGTACGCAGTTCTTGTGACGGCAGTAAATTTGGTAAACGAACATGACGAATAGTCCGCCGCAACAAAAAATGTAGTAGCCGAAGTTCAAAGCGTTTAAGAGGAAATGCATATCACCAACACTTGCTCGGATCGTGCAAGTAATAAATATGATGGCCATGATCATGAACCAAATTGCAAAAGTAATTTTTCTAACAGGAACTATTTTATTATCCCGTATTAAATATCTAGGAGTAATTAAGAGTTTAAGTATAAAATGAATGGAATGAAATATCCGTTGTATGTCTTTGTCAAGTTCATTTTCTTCGAAAACTTTGACACGGTACGTAGAATTGGATATTTTCATCACAATATTCGTTTGAATGTCCTTCTTTTAACGAAATGCTTGAGGAAATGACATTGTTTATCATGCTTATAAATACGTTGTAATATTGGTCTATCATTTATGGAATTTTACTTACTTTAATGGGCGACAACAATAATGTTTCAGTTTTAGTCATACTCACTTCGAAACTCGAAGGGGCTTCTGGCCAGTAATGTTACAATTATTATGCAATAAGGATCAAGCATTTTTTTTTAAGCATCAATCCAAGCACCCTCGTCTATCTAGGCTGGCTGACTTAATGATCTCTCTGGACATTTTAGGAACCTAAGCTTCACCCGTCAAAGAGCTATCAGATCACCACATATAGGCCCCTAAATCAGATCACCACACAGAACGGGAAGTGATTTCCCTCTCTCAAAACAGTGGGTCATATTGCAAAAATCCAGTGCTTCAAGAAAAAAACCTCTCAACGGCTGCCGAGAATTTCGAATGGGGATTTCAATGACCCTAAATAGGCCTTATATAATTTAGCACTTGTTGCAAGCACAAGCTTAGGCATAGTTTGTTTGTAATGATTAAACTGATATGTCACTTATAACGCAAACATAAATTTAATCTAATAAAGCATTCTGAAGATCATCATGACTATTCAATTTTGTAAATTTGTCATTTTATATTTCAATACCCATAGTTACATTATTAACTTTTACTTCTTTAAAAACTTCATCTACTTACTTACTTTATAAAAAAGTATCATTTTGTTTGTTCTATATTCCACAAAGTCCTTAAACCTACTTAGGTATTTCTGGAGGCTTTTAGCCATGAGGTCATTGACAGATACGACTATACTTGCCGAATCCACATACCAGATAGCGACAAGCTCCTAAACTAAATCAAGATCTTTACTTGGTTTACCTTTTTTAGCTTTCATGAGATTCTTGTCCTGTGGGGTTGTTGTCATCGATATAGTGTGACAACTCCATTTTTATAATAGTATTTAACTTTATGTGTATAATAATACCTAAACCTAGGAAGTACTTAGTATTTTTTAAAACTGTAATAAATTGATAATATCTGTTTTTAATGGTCAGTAAGGCGTTTTAACTTTATTATATTAATATGTAAGTGCATGCATAAGTACATATGTACTTACATGAACTAATTAATTATTGGGCTCTTTAATATAAGCGATCAACATTAACATAGTCACCGTCTACTTACTATGAGTGTTGTGTAAGTCACCTGCTAGCTAGCTGGTTTCAGTGAAAAAATTTGTTGAATAATGAAGACAATATTTCAAATAAAGAAATATATGGCTGAGAATAAAATTTTTGCCGAGAAAATAGACAAAGATGTGAAATCAATGTTTCTTCCTTTTAACTTATTACAATTATTTACTTTATACCCTAAGTACCGAACAACCAATGATGTGATTAGACCAAATAGTCTTATTTCAAACGTTTTGTCAATTTTAGGAACATTAGTATTGATCGTTTTATTCGGTTTTCGCGCCCGTTTAGTTTCGTCTTTGATTTTCAACAGTTCTACTTTTCTCAAATTATACACTTATTTCGATTGGATTTTTTTTAGCATAGGCTTTGGTATAAACTGCATCATAGGGACCTCTCAAAGCAGAAAAACTATTAATTTGGTTCTTACTTTTCAAAGCGTGCATAGGTTTTTGAAAAATGATATCAAGACCAGGCAATTTATCATTTGGAGCTGGGCCATCATTATTATATTCTTGAGCAGTTTCATCTTGTTTCTTATTTATATCTACTATAAAATGTACTACCCTTACTTGACAATGTTTGTTGCTACAACATTAATTTCGTTCGATTTTAACATATTGTACGCCACTCGGGTCATAACGTTACTAAAACATACATTAGATCTTTGGAATCTTCGAATTTACCATAATCTAAACACGGTTAATATTTATGAAGAACAGAATAACAAAAAAATGTTTCATGCTTTTGTTAATATTTTGAAATGTTACAATATCTACAAGAAATGTTTTCAGATATATGTAAGTGAAGTTTTTATATTATAAATATTAAGGCTTTTTATGGAATGGAGTGGATAACAAGCAGGTGGATGATTTGTTGGCAAGGAATCAGCGCCGCTTCTGGACCAGTAATTCTTCTTGAGTTGCAAGTACATTGATGGTCTTTTAGAGGTTAGGAATTTTAGGATTATGAGGTTACGGTACACCTATGAAAATATATTATTTGCTATATGAACTCCTTAGCCCTAATTCTACGAGATTGTTATGAAGCTTTAATAACAACTAGCTACTCTCTAGCGGTTTCACACGCTACTTAATTACGGCCCCGTCCCGCTACGGCCATTTATTCGTAGCGTGATGTTTTATAGCCTATAGCACTCAGGAAAATGTAGCTATCTATTAGTGAAAGAATTTTGGCCATCCGACCAGTTCCAAACATTACCCCCTACATACAAACTTACAAATACCTCTTTATAATATTAGTATAGATAAGCCCTAATTATTTTAGTGAAATGTTTTGCTCATTTTCTTTCAGATGCTGTATTACGTGATAGAAATATTCACTCATACTTTGATCTACCTTCAAGTTAATATAGAAATGTTATCCGTTCAACTCTTGAATTCTAACCACTTCAACGCAGTAAGTATCTCATATTGGAGCAAAATACTATGACTTTGCGTTTCTGATGTCGAATACTTGCATTAGCCACATTATTTTCTTCTTTTTCTTCCTTTCCTTTTTTTAGGCTTTCTCTTTAAAAAAAGCTTTCTAATACCAACCACGCTTCTTTGGCGTTTTTAATTTGTTAAATACGATACTAAATACAATTCTATTTCATTGTAGTTTAAATCGCAAGTATTTAAAGTAATTTATCTTTTTTTTTATAGACCAAAATTCAATTTTCAACATTCTCAGTATACGGTTGGGTTTTCAAGAATTTGATGTGGCAAACTCTTTTGTGTTATGAATGTGAGAAGTTTTACACAGCTGTTGACAACGTAAAGGACACGTGTTCATTTGTAATCAATGTCAACTGTCCAGGTATTTTACTTCTATAATCAAATCACAATCGAGCTGACAATTTCCTGATGGTAAGCAATCCGGGCCACCCATGGACAACCGTAACATCAGAGGAGTTACGAGTGTGTTGTCCGCCGTTGGAGATAAGTTTTGGAAGATTGGGAATCCCCCAATCTTCCGATTGGGATTGCATTCGGGATTGGGGGAGGGGAAAGATTGGACTTTAGGTAACCTCTCTCACATGGCGAAACACAACACTGGTTTTCTGGAAGGCTGTTTCATCACTGCGCTTGAGTCGGACCATTTATAAACAACCAAGAAGCTAAGTATTTCTTTATTTAAACTATTTTATCTTTGCTTCTTCATTTAAAGCTGTTTTAATTTTGCAGAAGATCAGAGAAAGCTATGCAAGAACGTGATGCGCTTGCTGCGGGCATCGTTTAGCAAGGTCAGCGCGTGTGGACTGTTCAACATTGACGCCGCGTTGCATGTGGCGCATGTTACTTTGCTCACAAACCATGCCATTATACTGCTGCAGTTTACTTTCTTGTAGCTATATTATGTCCTCTGATCATTATACTATGTATGTCTGTCATGATTTATCGTATTATTCAATTTTAACTTGTTACAATAACCTGTGTATTTAGATTCAGTTGGAATAAAATGTTTTCGATGAAAAATTGTAATTGGTTTTATGCTCTCATCTTCTTTATCAGTTTGTATGTTTCGAATTAGTAGAAGATCGTTAGATATTTGTATGGAACGTTTACTTAACGATTTTTTAGTAATAGTGCGATGAATAATAATAGTTACTGCTTGAAAGATTATAGAAGAGACAGTTGGTATCTCGGGTTTTTTTATGTAATAGATCGGCAAACGAGCAGACGGATTACCTGATGTTAAGTAATCAGCGCCGCCCATGGACACCCGCAACGGAGGAGTTACGAGCCGTTGCCGACCTATTAGGGATTTGGAGATTTAGGGATTTAGGAGGGATTGGGGGAGGGGAAGGATTGGGCCTCCGGTAACCTCACTCACACGGCAAAACACAACCCTCGTGGTTGTTTCACGCCGGTTTTCTGTGAGGCCGTGGTATCAGGTCCTCCGGTCGAGCCGACCCATTCGTACAGAAGCATGGCTCTCCCACACTTTTACTTAAAACTTTTTTTTGGGTTACTGAAAACTTCTCATTCCAGTCAAATTTTATACTATCAATAGTCTAAACATTAACATAACACGAGATAAAAAAATTATTATTAAAAAAACAAAATACCCGACTGCACACTAAAAAAAGAGTAAAACAAGCCCCACAATACAAATTTACTGAATATAATTTATAAATGTTGATGGAAAGCATCGCAGGCGGGGACCAACAGAGGCTTATTTATAGTCATTTCTGTTGTGCACCATTTAGCAGAATTTTCGTTGGTGGCGGTCAAGGTGGTCCCCGCCTGCGATGCTTTCCATCAACATTTATAAATTATATTCAGTAAATTTGTATTGTGGGGCTTGTTTTACTCTTTTTTTAGTGTGCAGTCGGGTATTTTGTTTTTTTAATAATAATTTTTTTATTTATAACTTTTTCCCGTGGGAATTTTGAGAAAAAACGTATCCTATATTAATTACTCCCGTGATTGAAATGAATCTAATGATACCGCATACATATTTTTTTAAAGGGAAATTTAGAAAAAATATTATTATGTCCTTATCCCGTGGGACTTTTAGGATAAAATGTATCCTATGACACTCCCGTAATCAAGACAAATCTAACGATACCTCATACATCAAAATCCATCAAGCCGTTTAGGCTACAGGAGGTCACAAAGGAAAAGACATACATACATACTTACATACACTCGAAAAACATTACCCTCCTTCTTTGGCAGTCGGGTAAAAAGTTTAATTAACATCGTATTTCTGTGGCCCATTGTAAAAAAGAATCCAAAACTGCTACATAATCGTTTGACATTAAAATGTATTAAACAAATGTGAGTATTGTTTAGGAAAACTGTTCATGTGTTTTTATTGTATGGGTAGTTTTTAAAGTAGTGGCTTATGCCTACCAAACCATTACTTAAAAGACTAAAACAAGTTGTGCCTGTATTCAAAAATGCTAAATGTTGTAATTCGTATTTGGAATCATTTTTATGATGTCCAAGGACCCGACTAACGGTTTGATTTGATCATTGTGCATTTTTTCGCCTTTGGGCCGAGTACCACCACGTCCGTCTCCATCACGTGAAATATGGAGATTATGTTTTATTTTCAAATATATTTCGACCATTTTAAACTATGTAGTATAATAAAAACACATTTTAAATTCGTCTTTATATTTTTTTCTACAATTATAGTTACATTATACTTAGTAGGTTACAGGCGGCGTAGTTACAGGCGAACCGTTAAATACAATTTCTAACAATTGACGAGTAAAGGCTTTATTTACACTTGTAAGTTTTCAAATTAAGAAGTGATATGAAAGACAGAGAAGTAAGGATCTAGACAGACGGACTGCATTTCAACTGCAATCCAAGTGCAAATTTGCAGTTCGGATGCAGTTTGAATGCAGTTGTCACGACTGCAATGGAACTGCAAAACAACTAACCAACCAACCAACATACGACTGCACGCCGTCTGCAATTGAACCGCAATCGGACTGCTCGGGTGGTTTGCAGTAGTGTCAACTGCATCCGAACTGCAAATTTGCAGTTGAAATGCAGATAGCGCGACGGGTGACAGGACAGAATGGAAGAAAAAAACAAATTGCGCCGACCCCAAATAAAACGGGACAAGGGCAGGAAGATGGATGTAAGTTTTCAAACTAGTCACAAGGTTCGTAATTCTTCTGGTTATAACAGATACATAGAAAACTACGCTCATGAATGAAAATTGAGACAGCCATCAGTAGTACAAATGTACGTATACCGAGACACTTATTCACTAGTAATTTATAGTTAGACGAATTTCAGTCAAAGAAATTCGAATTGTAATACAACAAAAATATAAGATATTAGAAGACCAAGGAAATGCAGTAAAAATAAATAGTCTAAAGTGAACAAACCAAATACATTCATCTTCTTTATGTTACTAGCTCGAGCTCTTCGGATGTTCTTGCAGATAGATTTTTGGGCATCTGAAAATGTTAAATAGTTTACTTTAGTTGTTGCTCGCTTAGATGATCTTAAAGCAAAGGTAGACGACCGAATAGAACTGACATCGTTCTGCCACTGTAGTAGGGGGTCCATTTTCGGTAAAGACCTCTGAACACACCGTCGTATTTGGTCCGAGGTGGATGAAAGTGAAGGTTCAGTTCGATAATTCGACCATCTACTCATTTGTGCTTGTTACTAATCAGGTACATGTACATGTAACTAATCAGGCCCAGTCCAGTCATGATGACTCCAATAAAAAAACAATGATACCAAGTAAATTCCATCTAAAACAGATTAAAATAAAATTATACGCTTTTAATTAAATCCTTGAATTCAAAACTTACTTGAAAAAAATCTGGAACTTATGACTTGCATGCAAACAGTCTCAACTTCGTTTAAAACCGAATAAATATTTTCACATTCCACCACCAGCCAAGTTAGAAGGAGAAAGTTTTTAAAAATCCATGAAAGTAATATTAATGAGGACAATGCAAACTGAAATGAAGTACAGATATTTATTAAATATGGCGGCAAACAAGCAAACAACTTCGTGGTACGCAAATGGCTCAAGAGCAGGATAGATATATATGTATATCCCTAATACGCTAGGTTTTTAAAGTGGAATCAGCGCTGAATTGACGCTTAGAAAAGAAGATAGAAAAGAACGGCCAAAGAAAACGTTAACGTATGTGAGATAAGATGAAGAATGGAAAAAGATAAGTAAGAAAATAATACGGAATAACACTTTGTGTGATCTACAAATTGTTGTTCCGGGTCTGGGTGTACTGAGTTTGGGAAATTCTATGTTTGTAAATGCACCTACGACAAAGGAAGCATTAGGCAAAGTTCTTTAAACAAAAAAATTGTCGTAATGAAATAATAATTCATGAATCCCAAACAAAAGTCATTAAATATTTTTGATAAGCCGTAACCAGTAGCCGTTCTAGAAGAGGCTGGCAACCCACTTCAAGTTAATTCTTTGGTACTACGGGTGTCCAAAGGCGGCAGCAATTGCCTTCCATCAGGTAATCCTTGCCCTTGTATTTGTCGAAAAATTGTATGAAAAATATTTTATTTGTATAAGGAAGTACTCGGAAGAAGAATATTTAGAGTTCTTCAAAAAAGAAAACTCACATGAATATCAGTATCGATGACGACTTTCTTTGTTTCTATGCGCAGTACTATAACAATCACTGATTTAACAGCTGTGTGTACCAAGTAGTGAAAAATCTAAAACAAAAATATTTTGTTAATTGTATATATTCAAGTTTAAAAGCATCTAAGTCAAGTATGTAAAAATAATAATATATGATCGAATCAAAGAAATAATATACTGAAGTAAAACAGAACATACCCATTTTTGAGAAACTTTGCAGAATAGTTTAAAAGCTTCCAATATTTCAATGTACAATTTAAAAACTAAATCCCAGTCATGACTACATATATAGCAATATGTCATTGTTTCAAACTTGATTAACAAAATTTGAAGGAGCCTCCTTATTAGCATTAAAACATTAGTAGCGTAAATGATGTTAAGATCCATACAAGTGTAAAAATAGACTGAGAAATTATAGGCAATAGAAGGAAGCGTATATTTATTATAGAAATAAACAACCCAAGCAACGTGGAAGAAAACATATGTCATAACATGAAACCAGTTAGGGATAATAAGATCCTTAAAATTCCCATACATTTTAAGAGTTCTATACATATCACTAATGTTTACCATAAGTCTTACGTAGTCGCCTCTATTAAGAAAATCTAGGCTTTCGCTACCGATGTACGCCAGTATCATAATAAAGGATACGAAGTCGGTTAGATATTTAACGTACTTAATGGTATTGAAATTAGTACTTAAGACAGGAACAAGCATACAATACATAGTAGCAAAGAAAAAAATATACATGACTACAATTGACAGAACATTATATATAAAACAGAAGCTGTAAATTTTGCGACAGATCTTGCATTTTAAAGAAAACAACAAAATTTGTATTAAACTTATAGGCCTTAATACGGATATTAAGTCCTCTTCAAGCAATGTACATGATTGTGGTTGGGAATTTTCCCAAACGGGGCCAATTTCTGTGATGTAATTCTGCTTCCTTGAGAATTTAAACATTTTAATCATGGATTTCTTTTCCCTTTATCGATTTGTAATATCTTAGTCACAATGATTCTACTGTCCTGCATTGACTTTCTTAGTTTATGGACTTTTAAGAAATAACCACTAAGCCAATCATTGGGCACCAACTTCCGGCTCAATGTTGTTACAATTTTTCTACGACATTGTTTGTGTGCGATGTTATCAAGATGTTATGTACCTAATTTATATTTATGGTTACTAACACTTATACGAGTAGTCACAATCTACTTAACTAGTTTAATGATAAAGATCTAATTGTAGCAAAGTTAAAGACATTACATTATTGTCTTCTTAGACCCTTATAATGATGTAGGTAGGATACACGTTTTCTTTGTTAAAAATTTTAAAATGCAACGTTTATTTACAGCAGTTAGTTCATTTCGAGAAATTTCTGAATTACAATCAAGCGATTTTCTTGATGATGATTTAATATCCGTATTGAAACCTATAAGTATCATACAAATTTTGATTTTTTCTTCGAAATGCAATATCATCCGTAAAATCTCTCTCTGTAGTTCTTTGTACGATATTGTATCATTTTTTGTGACGTTTTTTCTATTAAGTGCTTCGTTATTCTATATGGTCCAATCTATCTTAAACAATAGCAGCAGTGACTTTGAACACATTAGGCATTTAATAGATGTGCTGTCTTTCATTTTAGTAGCAATATGCGTTATGAACGAGTGCATCGATTATGCTTACAGACGCGATTACCTTAAACTTATACTAAACATTAATAACCTGAATACCTCCCTCAAAGTTTATAGAAGTTTTGAGAACCTTATTTACATGAACTGGTTGTACATTATGACGTACAGTTTCTTCCATGTTTCTTGGGCAATTTATTTCTTTTACAATTTTGTTTTACGTTATTTTGGCTATAACTTCACTATCTATTTTTATACTTGTGTGGAAGTTAACATCATCTATGCGACAAATATCTTGATGCTCATAAGGAGTCTCATTCAATCTTGGGCGAAACATTTTGAGAAAATCAATTGTAATTGTAATTTTGAGGACAGCAATTACTGGAATGTTGCTTTCGAAACTTATGTAGAAACGTTGGATACTTTAAAGTTTTTCCATAATTTGTTTCAAAAATGGGTATGTATTCCTTAATTTTATTTTGTATTTCGTTTAGCAATTCATTTTTATGACTTCTACTTTAAACTTAACGCTTGTCTATTGGAGACAAGCATTACTATTACTAAGCAACTACTGTTGCTAAGTAATCATAATAGGCATCAGTCGTAATGCTGCTGTTGTTCCGATAAGGTTCTTTGGATATCACCTGCAATAAATTTCAACTTAGTAGAATTTTGTTGCCCACCTAGAAATTTAGGGACGGGAATCAATATGAACTCTAACTAATTAAAATTATATTTTGTTTCAGATTTTGCACTTTATGGTGCAAACAGCTTTTAATTCTATCACCTCTATAGTAGTGCGCATAGAAATGAAGAAAGTCATCAGTGACAGTGTGATCGAAGTTAGAGATTTCATTTTTTTATGTGATAGGGTTTCAAACAAGCTTACCGATTACCTGATGGTAAGCAATTGGCGTGGCCATGGACACGCGCAATAGCAGAGTTACGAATGCATGGTCAGCCTTTTAAAGATTAGGCTTTCAGAAAATTTGGGATTGGGCAGGAAGAAGGATTTCTCACACTGGTTTTTTAATTTTATTTTAATTCGACCTTTTTTTTCTTAAACTTTTCTAAAATATTTTTACTTTGTTTTATTTATTAGTTCTTACGTCAGTTCAATCAAATCTATTTACTTTTTTTCAGTATACGTTTTCCTCATTAATATCACTATCATGGATTATAAAAAACTTTTTCCTTCTGGCCTGGCTGGTTGTAGAATTTGAAAAGATTTATTCAACTTTTAATGAAATAGAAAGTATTTGCATGCAAGTCATTCACTCAAGGGACTGTTCGGGTAAATATTGCGTTGAAGTGAATCATGAAACCCTAGTATACTAGTATTTTATTGAAAATGTTTGTAAATGTGAATGAATGTATATTTATTTGGCAAGATCACAATGGCTGGCAATCGGCATTGTCCATGGACACCCGCAATTTCGACAAAAATGCGGTGTATCTATACTTAATATTATAAAGAGGTAAAGTTTGTAAGTTTTTATGTTTGTATGTAGGGGATAATCTTTGGAACCGCTGGTTGGATCGCCAAAATTTTTTCACTAATAGGTAGCAACAATGTTCCTGAGTGCTACAAAACATCACGCTACGAGCAAATGGAGCTGAGCAGCGAGTGAAACCGCGCGAGAGTAGCTAGTATAGAATATTATAGCAAGTATAGCCTGGAGATGAAAAAGGGGGAGGGGAAGATTGAGCTTTCAGTTACCTCACTCAATATAACGTAACAAGTGTTTACGCTGTTTATTTATATCACTCTATTTGTGGCGAAGCATAGCCTCTTCCATACTTGCATATAAAAACATTACCTACATTTTCAGATACTCAAAAAAATATCTGCAAGAACATTCAAAGAGTTCAAGCCAATGACTTTAAGAAAATGGACGTGTTCGGCTTATTTACCATTAACAACCTGCTTCTGATGCGTTTTGTTCGTCTTGTTATTGTTTACATTTTTGTTGTATTACAGTTTGAGTTTCTTTGAATTTATATTACAATCTATACTACTATTGTAAAGAGGTAAAATTTGTAAGTTTGTATGTAGGGGGTAATCTTTGGAACCGCTGGTCGGGTTGCCAAAATTCTTTCACTGGTAGATAGCTACAATGTTCCTGAGTGATAGGCTATAAAACATCATGCTACGATCAAATAGAGCAGCGGGTGAAGTAGGTAGGGGTGAGAGTAGCTAGTTAATTTATACTTAGGCGCCCCAATAACTGCCGCGTTTGTCGAGTACTCGCAAGTGGAGATTTTTGCTAATAGCACGGATTTTTTTACAGCTTATGTTTAACTTACAATAAGATATAGTAAACGCTCACTAATATTAATTTATAAAAATGTTTCCAAAAAAATATTTGGTTATAAAAAGCTCGACAGTACTAACGACACTATAGCTTTGATTGCGTTATACCTTTTGGTTTTTTGCATTTAGAAAAAACATATTTATGTGTTATATTAAAGTGAAGGTAAACATGCACAGAGGTTGGCATTATTCACTTGATCTAAATAATAATAGTTAATACTTATATTGGAACTGTACACTCGATCGATAATAAAATACTATCTAAGCTCAGAACGATTAATATTTTAATTCGCCCTTTGCGACCTTTTCACCTTTAGCGAGACAGTTGGACACCCGTGCGTAGCACTGGATTCCTGGTCCACCGAGCGGAAGGCCTATCCCCGAAGCCTATACGTTTCGCCACTCGAGTACTTTTCGGGCCCATCGACCGTCCTACCTTCGAGCGACGTGACCTTTTTAGCCTGCAGCAGATGTAACTTTGTTTCTATCTCTAACTAATAACTAAATAGCGGCCGTATTTCTTAATGTATAAATAATATTTCATTCCATTAATTTACAAGCATAGGATAACAAAAATAAGCTACAGAAACTAAAACAATTAAAACCACTATATTGAGTCACTAAATGGTTACTAAACCCAGTCCTTAGTAATACGCGCGACGATCTCCCGCCAAGGGTGGGTCTTTGGACGGTGACCAAGAGTAGATTGCCGCCCGAACCAGATCCGAGCATAAGTCGCATTGCGTTACACGAGTCTCAAAGAGCCTTTAGACCACCATAGATGGGGAAGATGTTCAGCTGGGATTGCTAGTGCAAGCGCAAAGATGTGTCCCGGCCCGGACAAGGTACTTCGTGGTTTTTTACTTAGTAAGAGTTTGACACTATCTCTAGCGTCACCCAGGGCGGGAAGGAAGGAAGGAAGGAAAAAAATCTTGGCAATCTTAGAACAAAGTTAGTATACTAACTACTGGTTGACCATTCCATTTATTAGAACAAATATGGCTCAAAAATAAAACAGTTCTTTTAAACTAGCTCTTCTATAGTTTCTAAGTTAACATTATTACTGTCTTGTAAAATAAACAAAAAAACCAATATTTGAAATCGATTCGGTTGGAAACAAAGAAAAAATCAATGAAGGAAAGCAAATTGTAGCAACACAATGATATAAGTGGTGACGAGGTTGCAGTAATGCAGCTGTGTAGCCGCATCTACCACAAACATGTTCAAAGCATTCAGCTTGCAGAACTCCACATCCAGTACCCGGAAGATATTCTTCCATATCTTCTTCGATGGCACTGAAAATGAAAATTATTTTTTATTTGACTTTGATTTTCTAACTGACGGCGCTGCACTTAAACCGGTTAAGTATATCAAATTATTTAAAGGCTAGACGATGTTAAGATTCATATCATTTATTGCATTGTCTTATAATGAAAAAGAAAATACAAAATTGTCACAATTATAGGCCCTGATAGGCACAGCAAGCTAGTAATTAGAAGAAAAGAAGGCATTTTGTGATGTAGATGTAATGTTTAGTTAATATAAGAATACATAGCGTATACAATATAATACAAGTACAAGTAGGTAGTACAAAATAAGTGTGTAAAGATATGTTAGCAGAAGTGGATGTGTCGAATATTAATCACTAGCCATATTTCGGATCTATAGATACCACTGGTTTTAAGAGTCCTCATTGTCTTACTAACTTAATTATTGGTAGTCTTAACATGGTTTTTTTGTGTAATATTTTATAAAACAGGCAAATGAGCCACCTGATCACCAGGCGCCTGATGATGGTCATTCGAATACTTATTAGAGTTAAAAGTCATAAGTCCTTTTGTGGGTTACTAGGGACTTGAAACCTGGAAGGGGATGTATCGTGATTTTCTGTAAGGCAGGAGTTACGACTTATATAATAATTAAGAAAAAAAACTTACGATCTTGTGCCAACTTCAAAATAACATTAGTATTTACTCTGTCTGTTTCCTCGTAGAATGTCTCGGAAGCTACACATAAACCAGTCTCCACGAAAAAATCTTTGGTTAGTAGCAACAACATACCAACCGCGTGACTTATTAGGTATTCCAATTTACCCTGGAAATGGTAATAGAAAATTTGCTGTATATTAATTTTTTCGACACTTAGTCAATTTTTTATCATAAAATTCTAAGTAAAAAGACGATACTATCTGAATTAATGCAATACTATCAGATGTGAGTGTGTACACCTCTGATTAAAAAAAACAAACAAAATATTCTTTATACTTACAAAGTTATTTTTTGACCAAACTATAAGAACTCCGGCGTAAAATATGGACTGTATGAACGTTGTTACATAATGAAATAATATCTGAAAAACAGAAGAATAACTAACTAAAATTAATGACAAATAGTTAAAATATGTGGATGTTGTGTCCAACTTTAGTATAAATGTAATAAAATATTCAAAGGACAAGAAACGCGGTCAACTTACAAATAACTCTGCAGACTTCTTTATCAGATTCCAAGCCTCGGTGATGCATTCGAAGTTAAAATATATCTCTTCCAATAACATTTCATTATCTTCAACTATATCGTCATCGTTTACACTGTCTGGCTTAAAGTTTTCCACTTTTTTGTTCCAAACCCTCGTTTGGTGTGTCAATAATAGAATGTATACTGTTATATGTATCATTTCCACGTCCAGAAGAGCTGACATTGCCACGTAACATCCTCTCATAAACGACCAATTTCTGCCATAAAACAGTTTAAACAAAATCAGAGCTAGACAGTTTATTGTTACTAGTGCTACTGATATCCACGTGGTCAACTTTAGCTTGCGTATATACTTTTTCCTTTGTAAATATTTGTTGTTTTCATTGAGTACGTACAGTAATCGAACGCTAATATCAGTATAGAATAAGTTTATAACACTGACCGCCGCAAAAATGAAAGCGTAACCGAAATAAACAATGAAGTAGCCAGTTTTGTTTATCAAAACCCCAAAATGCATGTAGTTCATAACTATGGAATAGAAACAAAACACAAAGCAACTAATGAAGACCGCACACATCATGTTCTTGCTGTTTACATTCTCGATCGAATTATATTCTCTGACATTATATTTGCGAACTAATAGAACTGAATTTACAATGTAAAAGGGGTAAAAGATGCTGAAGAATTCTTTGTCCAAAACGATATTATTATGACTTTGTAAATATTCCATCATTATGAAATGGTGTCTTTAAATTTTGTCTGAGACATCTCTTTTCGAAGTTGTTTTACATTAAAAACGGTGCTCGGCATTATTTATTCCATTAGTGAATAGTGCTAGACAACTTTCATCGGTGGTAATTGATTGGTAAAGTACGTAATTGAAAATCGATTAAAAAAATTTGGATGTTTCTTTTGAGATGATTCAGCACAAAAAGTACTTATTTGATATTAGAATTTTTGAGCACGATTTTTTATGGCACGAGCAGACCGATTGACCGATGGTACGCAATCAGCGCCACCCATCAACAACGGAGGAGAAAAAGAGTACGTTGCCTACCTTTTGGGGATAAGGGTTTTGGAGATTAAGGGATTGTAGGAGGGAAGGAAAAAGGAGGAGGGGGGTGGCCACCTGTAGTTCACAACTGTCAATCACTGAAATTGAAATAAAACTTTAATTTTCCTTTAATTTGCGACTATTGGGTGACCACAGCAGTGCTTAGGAAAATTTTGATGTCATACATATAAGTGAAGGTTATGACAAACCGGCTTAAATTAACTTTTCTGTACTGTGATGTGACGATGAAGACAATAAAAAACCTTCATCAAACATAAAAATTAAAGAACACATCAAGAAAAATTTTAAACCAACGTTACAACAGGGGCGTCTTTAAGGGGTGCAGGGCAGGAAACCTCCTCGTGCGCTCGGTGGCTGCTGGTCCCTTCTGGATACGTCCGGGGGGAAGAGCAGTCGCTAGGCCGGTGCACCCTGGGTACGGACAATAATCTCTTCGCGGGGGGGCGGGGAAAGAGGAGATTGTTGTCCGTGGCGAATTTCTGCCGGAGCGGAGGAGTCGCTCCCGAGGGCTCCCTATCTGCGCTCTGCAGCTGCAGAGTGCACGAGTAGGGAGCGAGGTGGGGAAGACCGCGTGCCGTTTTTGAGTCCGCGGTCTACGGTCTCCGCGGCGTGTACATCGCGGGGACCGAGGTGGGAAAGACCGTGGGTTGCTCCTCAACCCGCGGTCTATGGGCATCGTGGCGAGGTTTTTGAGTCACGTTGCCGGGTGGAGGGTTAGTTTTTAGGTTAGGTTAGGAAAAAAAAAAAAAAAAAAATCAAAGACAAAATTATAAAAGTATAAAAACAAAAGAAAACAATACAAAATTATAAAAAATACCAAAAAAAAAAAAGTTAGTTTGTAAATACCGAACAGCGGGCGGTATATCCTGCACCGGAGGCGTCTGCGGGCCTCGGGAGGACCAAATACCCTCCCAAAAAGAGCGGCCGCATCGCCTTGGGGAAGCGATGTGCGTACACCCCAATATCGTAAAATGAAATGTATAATGTCGGACAATAACGAGTCTGTTTTGTCATGCGACCCGGTTGACGCCCGGCGCTCGCAGGTACCCGGGCCTGCGAGTGGTAAACTAGCTACCGACGGACGCGCAGGGGTAGGCGACCAGGCCCCTGTTGCCGATAATGCTACTGGTAGCAAGTTGGAAGTGAGAGTAAATCTCGTAGATGTTCGAGGGTCGCGTGGATCGTCGTCCGTTAGGAAGCGTCCACACGACCCTGCTCTGGTGGGAGATGGGTCAGTGGGTCTGTCCTCAGATGAGGAAGGCCTGCTGGCTCCGAAGCTGCCGACCGCGAGGAGAGGTCGGCAGGCTTCAAAGGGGGTGACTGCTTCGCGGCCGCGGAGGGATGCGCAAGGGAGGTTTTTGCGCTCCAATACCCCGGCGGCCAGCGAAGCAGAAAGTGACATGGGTCACCACAGAGGACCCTGGTGGCGAGAGCTGTGCCTCGCTTGGGAGCTCCAAGGCGGAGCTCAATGCCACCAGGAGGGAGCAGCGCAAAGCCGTCGCGGCCGACGAAGTGTCGGAGATGGCCCGACGTGCACGCGAGCGACGCGCTGCTCTAGCGGCAGAAGGGGAGCCATCCGCGGTGGCCTTGAGTCAGCTGGCCTTGGACGGGGTGGACTTGGTCCTGAAGGTTGCCACCAAATCTGGCAGCCTGAAGGGCACATTCACCCGCGGTCTGAAGGAGGCTGCCGCGGACATCAAGGAGGCGGTTGGCACCCTCCTCAACAGGACGGCCTCAGACGAGGTCGCGAAGTTGCAGGAGGAGAACGGCCGCCTCCGTAATGATTTGGAGGACCTCCGGCGGCAAGTCGCTGCGCTGAGCGAGCAGCAGCAGCGACGCACGTCCACCGATGCCGCACCCGTGGTGGCCCCGGCTCCCGCACCGAGACCGGCAGGCGCTCGTACCGATGACGAGGTCGAGCGCATTGTCCGGCTTTGCTTGCTCCAGTGCGGGAGCATGATGAACGCGCGTATTGAGGCGATTTCTCGGCGCCTCCCTGCGGAAATCATCCGTCCGCCTCTAGCTGCCGATGCGCGGCGGAGGACTGAGGAGGCGCCGAGACCTGCGTCTCGCAAGGCGAAGCCCGCGGTGGGTGCCCAGAAGCCCGCGGAGGGAACTCCCCCGAGCGATCAGCCCACGACTGCCGGGTCTAAGGGTGAGACCTGGGCGACAGTCGTGGGCCGCAAGAAGGCCCGCAAAGCCGCTAAGGCGGCCTCAGCAGCAGCACGCGCCCCCGGCCGAACCGCAAAGGCGGTTGCTCAGCCTGCGCGGCGGACTGCCAAAGGTGGTCGCAAAGGACCGACGCTGCATGCTCCGCGTTCCGAAGCTGTGACGCTCACGCTACAGCCAGGAGCGGCGGAGCGCGGCGTAACGTACGCGTCGGTCATCGCCGAGGCCAAGGCCAGGATCAAACTGTCGGATCTTGGCCTTCAGTCCGTCGCCCTCAGGCAAGCTGCCACGGGTGCGCGGCTGTTTGAGGTGGCCGGTGCTGCGAGCGGCAGTGCCGAAAAGGCGGACGCTCTGGCCGCCAAACTGAGGGAGGTCCTCAACCCTGAGGATGTCCGGGTCTCCAGGCCAATGAAAACCGCAGAGGTGCGGATCGCTGGCCTGGATGATTCCGTGACCTCTGAATTGCCCGAAGCGGTGAGTGTCCGCTGGACAAGGTGCGGGCCGGCGACATACGCGCCGACGCTACCGGACTCGGCGTAGTCTGGGTTCGGTGCCCTGTAGCGTCGGCGAAGAAGATCGCCGATAGTGGCAGATTGCTGGTGGGCTGGGTTGCAGCGAGGGTCAAACTCCTGCAGCCCCGGGCTTTGCGGTGCTTCCGGTGCCTGGAAAAGGGGCACGTCCGGGCGAAGTGCACCGCCGAGGTTGACCGCAGCGACCTTTGCTACTGTACGGAACCGTACATTATTTTAACTACTCACGCCCGTGCGTTCTGCACACTCAGGTTTTGTGTATATTGCAAACAATGCAAAATGTAATTTGTGTCTTTTATAACGAATTATAAATCAATGTTAACCTAGCATTCAAATCGGGTGGTATTATTTCTATATCCTTATAGGATTAACCCCTCATCATATCGTATCATCAAAGGTGTAGGAATCTTCTACATTTTTTTTGGTCCTTCGAGCCGGATCGTGGCGGGACCTTCGCGGTTACTTTGACCTCGCGCGCGCATTCGTGTCTCGTGTACGTCAACGTGACGTGGACTTAAGTTCCGTGCGATCACCAGTGTAATCTACACACATCATCGACTTGAGCATCGCTAGCTTAAGCCATCTCGGTCGTGTTCATTGAATCGCGATACTTCATCATCTTCATCTCATCTGTGGCGCGAGAGATCGCGCACGCTGTCAGCTTCGTTGGAATCACCAGCAGGGGCGTAGGACGTCACTACTGTAACGTCGCATCTGGATCATCATTTATCAAGTAAGACTGTTCCTTTATTTTTCAACATGGAATCTCGTATAGCCCGTCAATCTGAAATCATCTCCAGTATCACTACCATAAAGGTCAACTTTAATAAGGACTCTGATTCCCGCAAAAATGCCGAATACATCAAAAAACGGTTAGGCGCGCTAGACGCTCTCTGGGAAGAGTTCGAACAAAATCATTCTAGAATTTCCGATCATGCCAGTGAGGCAGATGAATATTTCCGTCTAAATACCTATCAGGTAGGCAAAGACCTTTATCAGTCTGTCCGCATCCTCTTATCATCTTACGGAAAATCATCAAAATCAACTCAACCAGATGGGGAGGTTGATGAATTGTTAGCAATGCAGCGGACTAATTTCAGGGCACTTAGTCGACTTATTAAGAGCATCAAGGTTGAAAATATATCGGATAAATGGGAACTCGAAGACGAGCTAAACGGCGTTCAGTCTATTTGGAAAATTATCGACGCTCAGCATTTGAAAATCGATCATATACTTGCGGGTGGAGATATATCGTATGACGAGGAATTCACTCGTCATGAGTTAGCTTACAAAAATATCAAACGTGAGCTAAATAGGAAAATCTCCTCTACGACTCATTTAGAAAAGGTCACTCCGAAACTTGAGATACCTACGTTCAGCGGAAATTATAGTCAATGGCCAACCTTTTATGATTTGTTTAGCGAGACAATTCATAACAATAATTCCATC